ACATTGTATCTGGTTTATCCAGTTCTATTTCCAATATTTTTTTTAGAAATTTTAGTCCATTTATAATTGAACTTTTGTTTTATATATTTGTTTTGATGTTTACTCATCTGAAGATAACATTTTATGTAAGTTATCAATTGACAATGGTCTGAGAATGGTGATGGATCTCTGACTTTAAAATATTTCACTGAAGAGAGTAGACTCATAATTGCAACTGCATAAGCTACAACACTACAACCTTTTGTATTGAAACGTATTATATTTCCCAGAATGTCTCCTATGAATCAAAGAAAAAAGACCCAAAAGTCAATTTTTAGGTCACCTGGCTGAAAAAAGCAATTTGAGCTTATGTCATCACTTGTCGTCTGTCGTAGTCCTCATCCTTTATTATTTCAAAGATCTTCTCCTCTGAAACTACTGGGCCATAAAAGCCTCTAGTTTGGTTGCCCATGGCCAAAATTGCCAATTTAAAGAAAATGTTCAGTTACAGTCATCATCTTGTCAATCCCAACAACATTGACATGCTGGCTTGCTGCACCTTCATTACATGTACATATTTATGAATTCTGTTTACCCAGTTGTTGCTCAATGAAAATTTATACTGACTCAAAATGATGACGATTAAATTATTTTTATACGACCGCAAAAAAATTATGCGGTCCTATATTGGTAAGACGTTGGCGTCGTCGTTGTCGTCCGAAGACACATTGGTTTTCGCACTCTAACTTGAGTTTAAGTGAATGGATCTCTATGAAATTTTACCATAAGGTTCAATACCACAAAAGGAAGGTGGGGGATTGATTTTGGGGGTTATGGTACCAACAGTTAAGGAATTAGGGGCCAAAAAGGGGCCAAAAATAAGCATTTTTGTAACTTCCAGACATAACTTGTGTGTTAGTGTATGGATCTCTCTGACATTGTACCACAAGGTTCCATATCACAAAGGGAATGCTGGGATTGATTTTGGGGGTAATTGCCTCCAAATTTTTGGAATTAGGGGCCAAAAAGGGGCAAAAAACAAGCATTTTTCTAGTTTCATGACAATAACTTGTGTGTAAGCATATGGATCTCTCTGACATTGTACCACAAGGTTCCATATCACAAAGGGAATGCTGGAATTCAGTTTAGGGGTAATTGCCCTAAACGTTTAGGAATTTGGGGCCAAAAAACAAGCATTTTTCTAGTTTCCAGACAATAACTTGTGTTCAAGTGTATGGATCTCTCTGAAATTGTACTGCAAGGTACCATACCACAAAGGGAAGGCTGGGATTGATTTTTGGGGTAATTCCTTCAAAATTTTAGGAATTAGGGGCCATAAAGGGGCAAAATAACAAGCATTTTTCTAGTTTCAGGACAAAAACTTGTGTGTAAGTGTATAGATCTTTATGAAATTGTACTGCAAGGTTCCATATCACAAAGGGAAAGCTGGGTTTGAGTTTGGGGGTAATTGCCCTAAACGTTTAGGAATTTGGGGCCAAAAAGGGGCCAAAAAACAAGCAATTTTTTAGTTTCAAGACAATAACTTGTGTTTAAGTGTACTGATCTCTCTGAAATTGTACTGCAAGGTACCATACCACAAAGGGAAGGCTGGGATTGAGTTTGGGGGTGATGAATCATAAGGGGGTTCAAAAAATTTGTGGGGGGGATTTTTTTTTCCTTTTTTTTCTTTAAAATTTTCCATTTTAAATTGGTTATTTCTGGTTTATATATAAAAGCAAATAATAATGATATGGTTTGAATAGGTAAATTAAATTTTTTTAAGTTCTTAGACCACATTCATTCTGTGTCAGAAACCTACGCTGTGTCAAATATTTAATTACAATCCAAATTCAGTGCTGTATCAGTCAGGGGACTTATTGAAATAAGTGATTTTTAAATCACTTATTTAAGTAGCAAATTCGAAGTTTTGTCACAAATTGTGATTTTGTAGTTTTACGAAAAATTTTAAACATAGGTTTAGATAATATCTTTTCATTAGTAAAATTGAAAAAAATGAACTTTTTGTTTCTTTTAAGCAGCAAGAATTATGCCTTTGATGCAATCATTTAGCTGCAAATTCTATTTTAGTTGAAAAAATGCTATAAAAATGGCTTTACATAATTAACTGATACTTTTTTAACAGATTTTTCCCAGCAGTGGGAGTATTTTTCCTGTAAAATTCAAGGTTTCATCTTATAGATTATGTACTAAAATTCTACTGTTCGCGATCAAAATTTCACTGTTGTTGAAATTAGTGGGGGTTATTAAAAAAATTATACTTAAAGAAGTGATTTTTTGGAAGGAAATTGAGGTATGATACTTAAACAAGTGATTTTATGTCATTACATGTGCATTATCCTAGATTTAGTACAAGGTCATCACCTGACATGACCCTGTCATCCTATCAACACAGATTTTGGTTCTGATAATTTTAGCAACATAATTAGTCCCTGGATCATTAGTATTCTATATTTAAAGCTACAATAAAATTAAATCACTTAGTCTAGTGATTAATTTGTACTACTTAAATGGGTGATTATTAAAGAAAGACAACTCTTACTTCCAACCTTTATGGACATAATGTTACTTGAATCAGTGATTTAGAAAATCACTCATTTAAGAAAGTCCCCTGACTGATCAAGCTTGAATGTTGTGTCCATACTTGCCCCAACTGTTCAGGGTTCAACCTCTGCAGTCGTATCAAGCTGCACCCCAGCTGTGCATTTTATTATTAACATGATTTCCAGGGTCGATTCGAGTTCTCTCCCCAGGCAAACATACATTGTATACATAGGCTGTTGCCAAAGTAGGGCAGTTAACCTGATGGCCCTGCACAGACCTAAGCATTGCATCCAAAGTTTCTAGTTGTTGATATTTTCAGTTTTTATACAATTGCAAAAAAATGTGTTTGTTTATTGCTATCACGTCGTAGGTAGCGTCCAACGACACATTTGGTTTCCAATAATTTAAGTTAAAAGTAATGAACCTCTATGAAATTTTACCACAAGGTTCAATACCACAAAAGGAAGGTTGGGATTGATTTTAGGTATTGTGGTCCTAACTGTTTAGGAATTCGGGGCCCAACAAGCGTTTTTTTTCCTAGTTTCTTGACAATACAATGTAACTTACAAATGTATGTATCTAGGTGCATGGATCTCTCTGAAATTATACCCCAAAAGGAAGATAGGGATTAATTTTGGGTATGATTGTCCCAATGGGTTTAGGAATTAGGAGCCAAAAAAGCATTTTTCTAGTTTCCTGACAATAAGCTGTGTATAAGTGCATGGATCTCTATGAAATTATACCCTAAGGTTCCAATCCACAAAGGGAAGCTTGGGTTGACTTTGAGGGTTATTGCCCAAACCATTTAGAAAAAAGGGTAAAAAAAGGGTGAAACAAGGTTTTTCTTGTTAATGGACAATTACTTAAGCAGTAGTCTATGGAATACTATGAAATTAAACCGCAAGATTCCATACCACAAAGGGAAACTTGGGTTTGACTTTGGGGGTTATGGCTCTAACCAATCAGGAGAAAGGGGCAGTGCAGAAAGATAGAAGGGAAAAAAAGTTTTTTTCCGGTTTTTGGACAGTTATTTAAGTATTAGTTGATGGATCTCTATGAAATTGTACCACAAGGTTACATACCACACATGGAAATTTTGGGTCCATTTTGATGGTGAGCGCATTAACTACCTTGTGGCCAAAAACAAGACAAGTATGGAAATGGGGAATGTTTCAAAGAGACAATTTACATGCATAATATTTCATTGAAATTTAGGTTCACCTGTTAAAGCTGAAAGTTACAAACAAAAGAGTCCTGTCAGACGAATTTTTAGATGATCAAAGGCAGCTAAATATAGAAATGATTGAACTTTCAATGACAGAGTTAGAAATCTCGTGCTGAACTACTGTAGCCATACACATGATACATGTACATCAAAAGACCTTTCTGTCAGATATTTATTTCCAAAAGAAGATATAAAGGTATTTGTTGTCCAAAGTAGGCAGAAGTTTGAAATGTATGGGGTAGATGATTTTTATTATGCCCCTGCCGAAGTGGAGGGGGCATTAAGTTTTACCCTTGTCCGTCTGTCCATACGTCCCAAAATTGGTTTCCATTCTCTAACTAAAGTTTGCCTCAACCAAATGTTATCAAACTTATACACAATGCTTAAGCTTATTACCACAAAACACAGATCAATTTTGAATTTTAGTGGTGTCACTTTAACCGTTCTAGAGTTATGCCCCTTTATAAATGGAAAAATTGCAAAATTTTTATTTTCTTCTAAACATCAAGTATACGTTATTCTAATACCAGGAAATTGATTTACAGGAAACTTTACCATCTAACGACGTTACGTTAGCCTGCTATACTGTGTAACGTTAGCCTGTTACACCATTGCACTTTAGCGTTGTATACCATGGCACTTCAGCGCAGACCATCACACTTTAGAGTACCAAGCCCTTTAGCGTCCTACACATATAATGCCTAATTTTAAGCAAAATCTTTTAACAAGACAAAAAATTTGTGCTACCATTACTATGGTATATTTTTGAGACTTTTTCAGTGTACCAGGGTTCGATTCCCTGCCTAGGAAATCATCATAATGCTGGTGCAAAGTGGGCAAATCTCCTAGTGGCCCCGCACTGATGAAAGTCTCTTACATTTTCTTTATTGTTTTTTGAATGATACATGCAAATTGATTACAAAAAAAAATGTAGATGTACATGTAGATATAAATGTGAATGAAAAGAAGGATACCCTACAAAAAAACCCCAAAAAAGAATTTTATTGATAATGCATGCAATTGTATATAAATTTGACATACTACCATACATGTATGTCATGCATGGTAGAAAAATATATATTTTTGACATGGTAATAATTTGGCCTCAAACATCACGGATGAAAACTATTTGTTGATATGCACATCTGGTGCAGCAAAATTGGTATTTTAACATTATTCCCTACATTGACAAGGATTTTACATATAAATGCTATACCATTTGTTCACATTTAAGGTTGATGTAAACAAAGCAAAGAAAATTGAACAGATGACAAGAAGACAAAGTGTTAGTTTGAAATGATTTTAAGCCAGGGAATCAAGGTTAACAGCATCTAGATTTGGAGAAATTTGCAAGGCAACATGAAGGAGAAACACCGCCAATCTTTGCGAGTCTTGCTGGAAGGAATATTTTTTTCAACACAAGCAACACTTCATGGGAAAAACTATGAAAAGAAGGCTTTAAATGCCTTTGAATCAAAATCAAAACTGAAAACTTCTGCATGTTGTTTGTTTAATTTGTTTGTATTGATTATCCCTATTTAGGTGCAACACCGGATGCCATTGTTGGTGATGATGCACTAGTTGAGATTAAATGTCCTTTCAAGTAACGGAATAAAAAAATTAAACCTAGGGAGTATTTTCATTTCTTGACTTATGATGACAATGGCAATACTGTGTTTAAAAAATTAAGCATTTATTTTTATGGAATTCAAGGTCAATTGTTTGTCTCTAAAAGAAAGTTATGCTATTTTGTTATTAATGGTACATTTTGTGATCTCTTTGTTCAAGAAATTACCATTGATAATACTTACTGTGAGTCATGTCTTGTTCCAAAATTAGAAGTGTTTTACAACAAATTCTTTAGGCCTTACATTGCATCAAAAATGTAAACCTGGATGCACATTATATCTTGAATAAAACTTAGGATATTCATAAATATTTTTATTTCATTTGTTTAATCAACCAGACTGATGTTCCAAAACAAAAGATTTGTATGAAAAATTCTGTTGATTTACTTTGTACAGTTGAAAAATTTCACAATTTTCATGGATTAAACAGAATCTATATCAACTTAATTTCAGGTTAGAGGGAGAGTTTGGATCCAGCAAATACCTAGCTGCATAAATACTATATGTACCTGTCCCAAGCCTGGAGCTTGTAATAGAGGTTGCGGCTAGTTGCTGTGTGTAATGTTTGTTTTTATACGACCGCAAAAAATTTGCGTTCATATATTGCTATCACGACGTCATTGTTGCATCGTCTTGAAGACAGATTGGGTTTCCAGACAATAACTTAAGTTTAAGTGTATGGATCTGTATATAACAAAAGTTTCAAAACCACAAAAGGAAGGTTGGGATTGTTTATGGGGGTGATGGTCCCAACTGTTTACAAATTAGGGGCCAAAAAGGGGCCCAAAACATGCATTTTTCTAGTTTCAGGACAATAACTTGTGTATAAGTTTTTTGATTGCTCTGAAATTGTACCACAGGGTGCAATACCACAAGTAGAAGGTTGGGATTCATTTTGGGAATTGCCTAAATCCTTCAGGAATTAGGGGCCAAAAAGGGGTCAAAAACAAGCATTTTTCTAGTTTTTATACGCCCGTTTACGGGACGTATTATGGTATACCGTTGTCCGTCCGTCTGTCTGTTTGTCCGTCCGTCGTCAACATGTCGGACATTAACTCATAAACGCTTTAACCAATTTGCATAAAACTTTGGTGAATTGTTTATATCTATTGACGTGAGCTCCCTTTCGTTTTTTATAAATTTTGAATTTTACGTTTCTGAGTTATGGGGTTTTATTCATTAAAAAAGGGGGATTTTCCAGTTTTCGGACAATAACTCAAGAATGCTTTCACCAACTTGCAAGAAATTGTGGTGAATTGTTTATATCTATTGACATGAGCTCCCTTTTGATTTTTATAAATTTTAGATTTTACGTTTCCGAGTTACAGGGTTTTATTCATAAAAAAGATTGATTTTCCAGTTTTCTGACAAAAACTCAAAAATGCTTTCAGCAGTTCTTATGAAACTATGGTGAATTGTTTATATCTATTTAAGTAAGCTCCCTTTAGAATTTTATAAATTTTATATTTTACATTTCTGAGTTATGGGGTTTTATTCATTAAAAAAGGGGGGATTTTCCAGTTTTCTGACAATAACTCAAAAATGCTGTCAGCAATTCTCATGAAACTTTGGTGAATTGTTTATATCTATTGATGTAAGCTCCCTTTTGATTTTCATAAATTTCTAATATGACATTGAGAATTAATTGAACTTTATTTGTTTATAGTCTGACAACAGATTTACTAAGTATTGCGCAACAGCACAGTGTATTGCACAACAGCAAGAAATCTTTAATTGAATATAAATTCAATTCATATAAACAATTTCAAGTTCTTTGACTACATTTATTCAGAAACCTGTAATATGTCAAATATTTAATTACAATCCAAATTCAGACCTGTATCAAGCTTGAATATTGTGTCCATTTTTGCCCCAAATGTTCAGGGTTGGACCTCTGCGGGCGTATCCAGCTGCGCTCAGCGAAGCAGTTTATTAGACAATAACTTGACAATAACTGTAGTTTAAGTAGATATAAGAATATGTGGTATGAGTGCCAATGAGACAACTCTCCATCCAAGTCAAAATTTATAAAAGTAAACCATTATAGGTCACAGTCGGTCTTCAACACGGAGCCTTGGCTCACACCGAACAGTAAGCTATAAAGGGCCCTAAAAATTACTAGTGTAAAACCATTCAAACGGGAAGTGTATGGATCTGTTTGAAACTTAACCAAAAGGTTCAATACCTTAATAATAGTTTTTTGGGATGATGGTCCTAACCATTTAGGAATTAGGGCCCAAAACATGCGATTTTCTAGTTTTCGGACAATAACTTGTTTATAAGTTTTTTTTATTGCTCTGGAATTGTACCACAAGGTTCAATACTACAAGCAGAAGGTTGGGATTCATTTTTGGGGTAATTGCCTAAACCGTTCAGGAATTAGAGGCCAAAACAAACATTTTTCCAGTTTTCAGACTATAACTTGTGTTATAGTGTATGGATCTCTCTTAAATTGTACCACATTTTACAAAAAGAAAATTTATTCATTTTTTTTTTTTTTTGGTGGGGGGAGGGGGGGTTCAAAAAAATAATTGTTGGGACATTTTAGGGAATATTTATTGTCCATAAAAACAGGAGGCTCTCAAGAACCTGAATTGCTCACCTGTATTTTATTAAGTCTCCCAAACGAAGTTTGGGAAGACTTATTGTTTTTGCTCAGTTCTTATTATTATTCTTCTTCTTCTTCTTCTTCTTCTTCTTCTTCCGCCGCTTTTAAATTTGAACTTGTCCGCACCCGTTCTCCAAAACCGCTTGTCAGATTAACTTAGGGTTTCACAATATGTTAGACTAACATGTCTAGTGGTGCAATCAGGGTTTTGTTTGTGCAATGGGGTTTATAAAGGGGTACTTTGAGGGGCAAAAAGAAAAGAGGGTTTTACTATAGAACCCTATGGGATTTTATTTTTTAAAATTTTCAAATGATTATAAATTGAAAACCGTTTGTGATAGACACAATCTTTTTAATTGAAAATGTTCTAAATGATAAAGCCAATTAAATGAAATACAGGGTTAGTCCCTAGGGGTCACCCCTACCCCCTGCCATTTAAGAAAGTTCTAATACCTTGTAAGTGGTAAAGATCCCCACCCCTAAACCATATATATTCTGGTTTGTCATGCTAAGATGGTTTGAATGATATACAGGGTTAGTCCCCAGGGGTCATCCCGACCCCCTGCCATTTGAGAAAGTTCTTATATCTTGTAAATGGTCGAGATCCCCACCCCTAAACCATATATATTCTGGTTTGTCATGATAAAGCCCATTAAATGAAATACAGGGTTAGTCCCCAGGGGTCACCCCCACCCCCTGCCATTTAAGAAAGTTCTAATACCTTGTAAGTGGTCAAGATCCCCACCCCTAAACCATATATATTCTGGTTTGTCATGCTAAGATGGTTTGAATGATAAACAGGGTTAGTCCCCAGGGGTCATCCCGACCCCCTGCCATTTGAGAAAGTTCAAATATCTTGTAAATGGTCGAGATCCCCACCCCTAAACCATATATATTCTGGTTTGTCATGATAAAGCACATCAAATGAAATACAGGGTTAGTCCCCAGGGGTCACCCCACCCCCTGCCATTTAAGAAAGTTCTAATACCTTGTAAGTGGTCAAGATCCCCACCCCTAAACCATATATATTCTGGTTTGTCATGCTGAGATGGTTTGAATGATATACAGGGTTAGTCCCCAGGGGTCATCCCGACCCCCTGCCATTTGAGAAAGTTCTAATATCTTGTAAATGGTTGAGATCCCCACCCCTAAACCATATATATTCTGGTTTGTCATGATAAAGCACATCAAATGAAATACAGGGTTAGTCCCCAGGGGTCAACCCCACCCCCTGCCATTTAAGAAAGTTCTAATATCTTCTAAGTGGTCAAGATCCCCACCCATAAACCATATATATTCTGGTTTGTCATGCTAAGATGGTTTTAATGATATACAGGGTTAGTCCCCAGGGGTCATCCCGACCCCCTGCCATTTGAGAAAGTTCTAATATCTTGTAAATGGTTGAGATCCCCACCCTTAAACCATATATATTCTTGTTTGTCATGATAAAGCACATCAAATGAAATACAGGGTTAGTCCCCAGGGGTCATACCGACCCCCTGCCATTTGAGAAAGTTCTATTATCTTGTAAATGGTCGAGATCCCCACCCCTAAACCATATATATTCCTATTTGTCATGTCTCAAACATTTGAATGACGTATACGGTCAGTCCCCAGGGGTTCCCCCCACCCCCAATGTTCTTATATCTTGTAAATGGTTGAGATCCCCACCCCTAAACCATATATATTCCTGTTCCTCATGTAATGAACATTTGAATGACGTATAGGGCCAGTCCCCAGGGGTTCCTCCCCACCCCCAATGTTCTAGTATCTTGTAAATGGTCGAGATCCCCACCCCTAAACCATATATATTCTGGTTTGTCATGCCAAGATGATTTGAATGATATACAAGGTTAGTCCCCAGGCATCACTAATGCATATAACTTTACTGGACCAAACCAATTTTCACTGGATGTGGCCCAATGTCAGGCGACCCTGGGAATTACGAATTATGGGAGCTTCGTTTGGGAGACTTCGTAACAGCATCCTGTTACAATCATTTCTTGTTTTTATTTATGTTTCATCATTTTGTTTTTAAATTAACAATCATGATGAACAAAATGTGTAAAATTGTCTTAAAAGGGCAATACTCCTTAAAGGGTTCAAAACACAATTTTAGTCATATTAACTTATTTGTAGATCTTACTTTGTTGAACATGTTTGCTTTTTATACGACCGCAAAAAAATTTTGTGGTCGTATATTGGTATGACGTTGGCGTCGTCGTCGTCGTCCGGCGTCGTCGTCGTCCGAAGACACATTGGTTTTCGCACTCTAACTTTAGTTTAAGTGAATGGATCTTTTTGAAATTTGACCATAAGGTTAAATACCACAAAAGGAAGGTTGGGATTGATTTTTGGGGTTATGGTACCAACAGTTAAGGAATTAGAGGCCA